CCCCAAACCGTGCCGCCTGCGGTCGCTCCGTCTCTCTCGCACTCGCGGCGCGCTCCGCAGGGGCGCGAGAGAGACGGAGCCCGGCACTGCAGCGCCTGCGGCCTTGAACGCGACGAGGAAAATCTGGGCCGGCGACGGAGAGTGAAAACAGAAAACAGAGAGGGATGATCTCGGCGTTGTCATGCCTTGCACGGAGCGACCAGCAGCGACCAGCCGAGCCGGCGTGAAAGTCCCAGGCTAATTCACCGTTCAGAGAGGAGATACGTGAACGCGTTGCTGTCACCGCATGTGCGTGGCGCGGCGTGGCGGGGCGGGGTGGGCGGGGCGGGGCGGGGGGGGGCGGGGCGGGGCGGGGCGGGGCGGGGCGGGGCGGGGCGGGGCGGGGCGGGGCGGGGCGGGGCGGGGCGGGGCGGGGGACGCCAACTAACCCTCTCTGATTCCCCAAGCGTGTCGCAGCGCGAGACTAGGGGGCTTGTGGTCGCTGGAGCTTGGCGGCCCGAGCCTCGCTGGAGCCTGACTGGAGCCTGACTGGAGTCCCGGCGGCACTGCGCGGCACCGCGGCGCTGGAGCGTGAGCGGCTGGAGCATGGCGAGCGGGCGAGGCGCACAGTGGGCCAGAAGACCGGTGCGGCCGAAACTCCAGACGCGTTTTGAGCTCCAGAGTCGCTAAACCGGACTCAAATCGAACGTGTGACCCCACTAATGGGTTCCTCGTTCGGAGAGCAATCCATTGGTGGGGTGACACGTTCGATTTGAGTGGCATTTGGTGACTCTGGAGCTGAAAACGCGTCTGGAGTTTTGGCCGCCTCCACCGGTCTTCGCCCACTGTAAGGCGGGAGAAGCATGGAGTCGCGTTCCTGGAAACGGCGCGAAGTGCCCAAGTCCCTGCATTCGTCGCGCTGGAGTGCTGGAGCGCTGGAGAGGCTGCCGCGGCCGGAGCGTCTTCCTGGAGCCTGTCCGGATGCGCGGCGGCCCTCGCGGCGGCCAGCGCTCTGATTGGCGCGATCGGCAGTGCTCTGTGAAGCCGCCGCGCGCTGTATGGCGATGTGGAGCGGTGGCCGGCCATGGCGGCGGTGCCGCGAGAAAGGGCGGCCGATTCACTTTCAAATTGGAGCCTCCATGTCCGATGGCGCGGACGCGCGCGGACGGGACGAGACAGGACTGCTTTGAGGCGCATCGCCTCGCGCTCGGCGTGGCTCAGCCTCGCATAGTGGGCCAGGAGACCGGTGGAGGCGGCCAAAACTCTAGACGCGTTTTGAGCTCCAGAGTCGCTAAATGGGACTCGAACCGAACGTGTGACCCCACCAATGCGGAGTGCTGCTGACTCGAACCGCTAAAGGCCTGTAACAGCGTTGATGATGATGATGGTCTCCGGCGTGGGCGGCTGGCTAGGCTGGCCGAGGCTGGCTAGGGACAGTGGGCCAGAAGCCGGTGGAGGCGGCCAAAACTCTAGACGCGTTTTGAGCTCCAGAGTCGCTAAATGGGACTCGAACCGAACGTGTGACTCCACCAATGGATTCCTCGTTCGAAGAGCAATCCATTGGAGGGGTCACCCGTTCGGTTCGAGGCCCCTAGCGCATCAAAACGCGCCCGGGGCCGGCCCACTGTGAAGTGGTGCCGCAGGCCGCATGCACGTGTCTTCGTGTCTCCGACTTGTTGTCGCGGGCATGCAGGCTGATTCCGAACGGGAGCCCCCGTCGCTCTGTCTCTATCGCACCCATACGGGCCGCCCACCCGTGCGAGAAAAAGAGGGAGAGAGAGAGAGAGAGAGGGGAGGTGTCTCAGGTCGGAAGAAGCCTGGCGAGGTTCACTTGCCTCCTCAGCCACCGCAGCAACACGGCTACCTGCGTGCGGAGGCGGAGGCCCTCGCCGGGACCCTCCCGGCGAGGACAAAAGAGGCTGGCTTTTAACTCCAGTTCAACTTCAAAATTTCAGCTTTTAAAAATATTTTTTCCCGTTGTTGCGTGGTAGACAGAGGCGCTCAAAATGAAGTATTTTCGTGCAAACGGGACGTTTCTGTGACCATTTTGAGGCACGACGGAGCTGGATGGCGTCGGAATTCCGGCACTCAACTTTGCACTCAAAATCGAGGTACGGATTTCAATCTTTTTTGTAATCCAACTGAAATTTTCTGTTCAGTCCATTTTTGAAATCAGACTGGACAAATTTTATGTCAATGCACTTGTTTAATACGCACTGCTCGGCGCTCATTACAAATGCGGTGCCAACTCGGGTGCCAATGAAAAGGGGGCGTGGCACTACCAGTTAGGCACAGTGGGCCAGAAGCCGGTGGAGGCGGCCAAAACTCTAGACGCGTTTGAGCTCCAGAGTCGCTAAATGGGACTCGAACCGAACGTGTGACCCCACCATTGGATTGCTCTTCGAACGAGGAGTCCATCGGTGGGGTCACATGTTCGTTTCCAGTCCTGCTGGAGTTAAAAACGCGTCGAGAGTTTTTGCCGCCTGCGCCGGTCTTCTGGCCCACTGTGCCGAGCCTCCCCGCTGCCTGCTTCATATTATCGGAGCCAGTTATTTGCTTCTCTGCGTTTGCTACCGACCTTTTTTTTCGGCGGGAGACCTCATTCGTGCAATTAAAAACAGCATTCTGCGAGGTTATTAAGTGAAGAATCATACTCTGCAAGTGCATTTTTCAATATGTTTTACCGTTGAGTGTGCGATTAGAACCCGAAATTACAAGTTTGAGGGAATAGAAGTCATTCAAGGAAATGTAAAATAGTTTGAACATCTTGAAATGTTACAAGTTGTCCGCGAAAGGGCCGCTCCGAAGTGGTGTTCGCTCTACAAATCGAAGAGCGTACATTGTACTGTATGCTGTAACTGGAGCATGCCTGCAAGCAAGCTCCAGCTAGCGCATGCCTGCCAAGCATGCACTTACTAGTGCATACTTGCCATGTAGACGCTAATTGAAGCATGCATCTAGTGCACAAGGGATAGGGAGTTGCCAGCATCAGGAAGCGTGTACCTGGCATGTATGCACTAGTAACGGATAGGCCCGTGGGGTGGAGGCGGCCGCAGGACTGACGAGCCAAAGCCGCTGGGACCAACCGCGGGAGTCAATCTCGGAATTTGAAGTGAAAACTCGCGTTGGCTACACGCGAGCCGCGGCGACTCCCGAGCGTCGCCGCGTCGAAGGCGATTGTCCAGCGACGGGTGTGTGCTTTCAGGGAGAGTCGAGAGTCGTTTTCGTCGCTCTTTCTCTCTCGCACTCATGCGGCGTCCATACAGGTGCAAGAGAGACAGAGCAGCCCCCGCGCCGCGCCGGGAACAGCGACTCATCTTTGACAGTGTAGGCCCCGGTGGCTGGTGAGATGTGAGAATTGGTGAGATGTCTCGCAGTGTCCTCGGTCGCAGCTACACATAAAGCACTCCGTCAGTTACAGCTTGGGCCGACGTGGCTCCAAGGATGTTGTATACAACATCCTTGCGTGGCTCGGCCGGGGCGGGGCAGGGCGGCGGCCGGCCGAGCCGAGGCCCGGAGTGTTTAGAAACACGCAGGCTGTTCTCCAAGCGGTTCCCTCCGCTCCGCGGCGCCGCTGACCCGGCCTTGCTTCGCTGCCGACTGCAGACTGATGCGATGCGCCCAAACAATCCGACACAATCAAACATCCTGTTGTAACGGTAAAATTTGGGAGAGAGACCTCCCCTCCTCGAATGTTATAGAAAACTTTCACAATACACTAAGGGTCGAAGGGTCTGGACGAGCGCGCACCTAGCTCAACAATCCGTCCAAGCGAAGCTGCGGCGGCTCTCTGGCGACTTGATTGGTCTCTCAGCCCCCCCCCCCCCCCTTTTGGAAAGAAGTGGGTTGTTTAGGTTTCTCGTGTAAGAAATTAGTTTTCAGTCCGGCCTTGTTTTGGAGCGGGCCGCCCGCAATAAACCGGGAACAGCCCCTCGTGCTGGCCCCGCTTGCTGGCCCGCTCGTCCGTCACAGCTACACATGAAGCTCACGGTCCCTTCAACAGCTTGACAGGAAGCTGCGAGTCCCCCCCCCCCCCAACCGCACCCACCTTACCCCGCGGTGCCTAGCCCTCCCCTACCCCACACCACCCACCCCCTGCCCGCCCCCGGGTGGGGCGGGGTGTGGTAGGGTGAGGCGGGGCAGGGCGGGGTGGGGCCAAATTCAAAAGGAGAAAAGGAGGGGAAAAACAGTGCTTTTTTTGTGCAGCTCACCCTCAGAAAGTATCGATACTGCAAAAAATCTGAAGGGATTCCCTCAGTCTTGAACCATTCAAACCACCCCAGCATATGTCTGAATGGCATCTATGGCGACGATAGTGGTGGAGGAGGAAAGGTTACTTTGAAAAGAAATGTGAACGGGCTGTGGCTTTCAGATCATACTCTTTTCCACATCGCACTGTGAATAAGGTATTTAGCAGACGATGCAGTAAGTAATCCATTTACCAGTTATGAACAGAATTACTTTTTTTCAAGCCGTACTGCACATAGTAATTTTTTCGTTGGATGCAGTATGGCCATACTGCAGTTAATTTTTGGGCATTTGCATGCAGTATGGAAATTTTCCGAGCCACACTGCACATAACGATTCGCTCGTTGGATGCAGTATAGCTGTACTGCAGTTAATTTTTAAACACTTCCGTGCTTGGCTCAGGGTTGCCAGACTTGTCGCCAAGTCGCCAATGTTGGCGATTTGGGATGGTCAGCTGGCGACAGATTTTCCCGCCAGGTCGCCAATTTGGGAGCCAAAACTGGGTTTTCACAGTTCCAAACCCAAGGGAAAGGCTAGTCGCATTTTCAAACTACGGTCGAAAGCGCGCGCTAGCCGCACTCTACCGCTCCCCAACACCCCGCGCCCCCCCACCCTACCCCTCCCCACCCCCCGCCACCCCCCACCACTGAGTTGGCGACCAGTTGGCGACTTGGCGCGCTCTGGTGGCGACTTGGAGCCCTAGTCTGGCATCCCTGGGGTGTGTGTGTGTGTTTGAGGTGGTTTTTCAATGTTTTGATTAGGGGCGCATCAACATGACGGATAGAGCTACTAGATTAATATTGATGGCGACAAACAAAAATGGGGCCCCACCTAAACCAGGTAAGAAATAGGCATCCTTTTTTTTTGCAGTGCTAACACTTGACGTTTTATTAGTTTTCCAAAGTGCACTGCAGTTGCAGTGTGTTTTAAATTTGTAAAATAACTCCTGTTTCAGTGATTTTTAGTAATGAAGTCATCAAGTTTCCCTTAAACATTGGATGTTAATAGTTTGTTAAAAAAAAAATCAACCTTTCTAACCCGTGTTTCCCCATGTAAACAAGAAATCCTAACCCAGTCACCCAAGGCCTCTATTTTTATTCTAAATTTTTAAATGACACTTGTTTTAGGTGGTGTTGAGGAGCTCTTCAGCACAATTACAACAGAGCGACAAGCTGAGGGGAAGAAGAAAGACTGTAAAATAGTTCTCTTTGAAAAAAAAATTGGTAGAAATCAGTTCATACTTTTGTAACATTGATTTTGATGCATTCAACTGCGCCAAGAGAGCAAGGCAGCAGCTTCCTCTATTAAAATGTAAGTAATTCTTCAAGTTCTATTTCTGCCCTCTTGCATGATTATCGTGAAATAAACTGACATACTTGATTTGGTTCATGCGCAATGCAGGTGATGACAATACACTTAAGAAATTAAGTTTACCAGCGGCACCCAAGAAAGCGCATCCCGAGTCTGGAGTATCTAACGATCATTCCTGGTCCAGCCTATCAAGTTCAAGATCTCCCAAAAAGGGAATGCTCCAGCACAATACTACAGGTAAATTGTAACATTTCAAATAGTTATATTTCATAGTAACTTTACAATAGTGTGGTTAAAGATAATGATTTCTGTCCCATTTTGAAGATCCTTCGTTGAAAGTTCAGAGCTGGTTGCGAGGAGTAAAGCAAGCTACTGAGAAGCAATACGGATCGCTGCAGCACAGCACTCCTGCTATTCCAGCCCTGCCATCACAACTCATTGAAACAGAACAAAGTAAGTTTGGTATGTATGTTGACATTGAAAATAAGAATGATTTTTGTTAACTCTCTCCATATTTTTTTCACTGGTCAGCTACTAATCAGGAACACCTTCAGAAAGCACAGTGACTAGATGTACATGTAGAACAAACTCTGCGTTGATTCTGGAGGTGTTCCTGATTAGTAGCGGCTCCAGAACATTTTTAAAAAGAACTGGACTTACGCTACTTTGTCCGACCTCTAGCAAATAAATTGGATAGATTTTTATAAATGTTATTTCTTTTTTGTTTTCCTTAAGGTGTCAAGGGCAGTTTTACTTCAGTCCCGCATTGCGTTTGCCTGAAACTCAGGTTTTGGCCCAAGGAGAAGAGAGGTCTCTTGCTGGGGAACATGATGGGACGTCACAGACCATTATTCCCTCTGCTTCAGTACCAAATGTTTCTCTACATGACAAGAATCCCACTGGTTTGTACTGCAACTCCTTTCATAAGGTGGTCCTACAATCAAGTCATCAAACTCATCGCTGACCATATTTTCATTTCACGCTCAAGTTCCATGTTGTTTGTAGGCAAGGTGGTCGGCCTCTAGTTGGCCTGGTTGGCCTGGCTTATCGCTGTAATCAGAATGTTATTAAGTCTTCTAGAGAAAATAATTCTACATGCCCTGATAGGCTTTATGGGTCTTTTCATTTACCACACTCATGATGATATAGCAAAAATGAATTTATTACATTAAGTAATTTTTATAAGGAAATTCTATTTTTGCTACATAATGAGTGTGGCCATAAAAAGACTGAAAAGAGTTTCAGGGCATGTTTTCACAACAAGATTGAATAACATTTTAATCACAGAAAGCAACCACTTGGCCAAACAGTCCTCACTAATGAAACACACAATACGATACGAGTGTGAAGTTGATAATCGATGAGTTTCATGAGTTCATAAGAGCTCGTAGACTATTCTTGCGATAATGCTTGGTTTTGTTCTCCCGCAGACTCATCTGGGTTAGGATTTCCTTTGGAAAGTCTTGCCAGAAGATGATGATTCTAGCAATTTTGACATTGATAGTCTGAATGGTCTTTGTTCCCACAATGTTCCTACTACCAAATCCACATATGATAAGAGTAAGTACAAATGTGTACTGCCTACATTAACTTATCCATGACCTGCTGCAAATACATGAGATAATTTATGTTTATTTTTGTGTGTTGTTTCTAAAGGTGTTAGGGGCAGATTTATTTAAGTACCATTGCCTTTGCCAAAAACTCAGGTTTTGGCTCAAGGAAGAGAGGTCCATTGCTGCTGCAGAACGATGATGGAACTTCACAGACCATGCCCTCTGATTCAGGGCTAAATGTTCCTCTGCATGCCAAGAACTCTATTGGTTTGTAATGCAACTCCTTTCATAGTATTTTTAGAAGTAAAACAATTAGTAATGCCATTTTATAGCCTGTCTCTTTTTCTGTGCTACCCAGATCAAAAATTTCTGAGGCAAATCCTTATCTTAACTAGGCTCAGTATAACTTTGATATTGTTACCAGAATTGGTACTTTTCATTGTACCAATGCGGACTACCCACAATCTGTCAGCTTCAAGGAGTTATATTTTAGTATTTCTAAAACTAAACAGATTTGATGCAGCTATCAATATTGCTTTACTAGTACACACCATTTAGTATCAGTTTTATTATCAGGATGTTAATTTCTAATCCACTTACTATAATACTAAATACTGAACTGGGCAGCACATGTTGAAAGAAGGTAATAAATGAAGAGATTTGTTCAATAAAATGTTGTAGAGAGTCCATCCCAGAGAGAACCCTTCCTGCATAAGTCCTTTTGGAGTAGTGAAATCTTTCTTACATTTCAAATGTTTGAATTCTGATGAGATTTTACTTAAAATATCACATAATTTTCAAGTTTATAATCTGATGAGATAAAGCCATTTTTATGCACTGCTTGATGACTCAAGAGGTAGTAACTGCAAACAATTTTGCCCTGATTAGATTTATAATAATTTTTTTGAATTTTATTCTTTTACAGATATTGTGCCATTGGTTTGGCTGAAAAAGATGTTGAACAAGAGGACTCTGATGTAGATGATGACTTGTAAAAATTAAGTATAAAATATAAATAATTTGGTACTAGGGACTAAGGATTAATTAATTTTAACTACACCCTGAAGCCACCTTCTCTCAGTATATCAGCAAGGGGTTGAAGAAGTGATTTTATAACAGGAATACACCAGCGACCCATAAGTCGTCGTCTGTTAGTAATAGATAAATTAACATCCGTATAATGTTCTTCAAACCCAAAGATTGACTCTTCTTCTGTGATGTACATGTAGCCATCTTGGTCATCCTCAGTTATAGGCAATTTCATTTCCCCTTTCCCCTTTCTCCACCTCTCCCTCAGCTCAGAGTGGAACAGATCCGAAATACTGCTGTACCAGCTTTGATCTTGAAAAGGTTTTACTATTGAAATAAAATGTGACAACAATTGATCAACACTCTTTTTATTATTCTACTTTCCATATCAAAATATTTCAAGTATACGATCTGACACAATGTAATCAGTCTTCAATTTTCATTAAAATTGCTGCAATTAATCATAATACCTGACAGCATTTTTGAAGTGTCTCAAATGATGGTTTATAAAGATTTTTTAAAACAAGAGGCTGCATTTTCAATATACTCTATAATTTTGTCTTTGGCCTTAATGGTACCAACTCTATTATTTTATGTGCTTCATTATGTGTCGGACTCAAACAGTTACTCTTTCTGTTCCAGACCCTTCTTCCTCAGGTCACCTCTTTTTTGAATATCATTGAATTCTACAATATCTTACCAAATCAGCAAAAGAAAAGGGTCATCAGTTTTACTGGCTCTTTGAAAATACCTCCTCTATGGAATTACAAACCAAAGAACAAATATCGAGGTACATATTAATGCTTCTATGTGGGGTCAACATTATCTATGTTTTATACTTCATCGATCTCATTTGACTCATCCCATTATTCCACTGACCAAACTAAACAAATGAATGTTTAAATATCTGCTACTTAGCCTTTGTTTTTCTTTTCTCCACCTACTGTAGGGTTTTGCAGTGCTCACCTGTAGTCCGGTGTGCTTCTCAATATGTAGGTATGAAAAGAAGGCGGCTTTTTTGGGGAAATTTCCCACCACAAAGCATTGCAGAAAGCTACAGTGACGGCATAGACCTACAGTATTTCCTAAAGCCGTATAGAGAAGCAACTATTCATCACTTGCCTACTATAACAACAAACTCCCATTCTCAGAGAAGTGGTAGGATACTTAAGTGGTCATGTAAGCTTGAAACCGATTAACTATTAAACTAATGTTTTCCTATCTTTACATTAACAGGGAAACAACAATGTCTTCCAGTAACAGAGGAGGGCATTCCGTCACATCTGTATATTACAGAACAAGAAGAGTTGTTTGGTTTTCCTCCACATTACACTGACGGACCTAATCTTTCTGTAACAGATAGAAGGAAGCTTCTTGGAAAATCTTGGTGTGTACCGGTAATTATGGATCTCCTACATTTTTTATGTTCTATATTCAAGACCAAACTTCAGCAAAGGGTACACACAAGTGCAACCTAATAAGTATGTTCTAAAATGTATTAGGTTCTTTGATTTTGTCTGTTTATTATAATCAACCGAAAGTACCATATTTTTTATTATTTAAGTACCTCACGCCCCCTTTTCAAAGAAGCAGTGAAGTTACAACAATTTAAAAAAAGGAAGGCACAAATGTCTGCAAATGAAAAGTGACCTGTAAAGTAATAAAAACCATTAAGAGTGCGATAAACTGTTCAGGTATTATTTTCAGTAATTTGACTTAAATCTTACATCTGTCAATTTGTCGGCAATATGGATTGACCTTCTGATAAGGCTCGTGCACAATCACAGAGTGGACTTTCGCTTCTTTCTGAAAGCAGAGCGAGGGAAAAGGGAAAGCTTACTTAATTGTTGGTGTGACAGTGAACAGATTTTTTCGCCTGCACTATGTGGGTTAACTTATACAATGCGACTGTTGCGGTTTGATGTGTTTTGTGACTCAGACGGAGGCAACAAGGGACAACCACAAATAAAAAGCTACACATTTTATGGAAGTGGAATTTTTTTAAAGAAACAATGAGCTGTCCCTTATATCACAGATTCATCATAAAATGAATGCTAAGGAACATTTAAAAAACACTTTAGGTAGGTTCCTTTGTATAAATACACAATAATTAGGTAAGTTGATTTTTTTGATGAAACAATACACAATAATTAGGTAAGTTGATTTTTTTGATGAAACTTGTCTACAGCTTATAACAACCTACAGCACAACCAGTGGTATTTTAAAGGAACTTAACATATATAAATCAATATATATTTGTCAGTCAAATTTGTGCATAAGCACCTTAATCTAAGAAAAACTTTTCAGTCAAAGAGGAACTTTTAACATTAAAAGTAAAATCACAATTAAGATATTGTAGTGTCAGAATGCACTTATTACCTTAAGCACTTGCTGCATTTTGTCCAGTACACTACAAATGGATAGTGCCTTGGCTCGCCCAGTTGCAAGAAAGTGTGCCTCCCAATTTTCTTGAGTGTGTGGCCCTGTGCGACGAGCTCAGCACTCTCTGCTCGGGTGTTCACAAGTTGCAATCCTTGCATTTTGATTGACGGTATTGCCTTTCTCGTTCCCACTCCTTGCAGCTCTGCAGATACCGGGGTCATGAACTGTAAAGGATACGTCATTGTAATTAAGCAGCAAGGGCACCAAGTAGAGTACATTGAGTCTTTTATTGTTCTTACGGATGCCCACTGGTAGATCTTGTTATCATCTTTGCATGCAACATAGGGTCGGGTTGCCTGCTCATCGGTGGCGCACGGGTAGCCACTTTTGACGTAGGCAGTCATGGCCCAGCCGTGTAAATCTTTACAGCGGAAGTGCGAAACTTGCACGGGTATGAGGGGAACGCCTCTAGAAGCAAGGGAGTCCAAGATCTAGAAAAGAAATGTGAACACTGACCCCTGACAGCCTATTGCGTCACAACAACAAGCAAGTAAAGCACAATTACCAGCAAGTTTTCTTCCTCCTTATCTTCATTCGTGCAGCCGCACCAAAGGCTCCCAGCTTTCGGCCTGTCTTGGTTTTGTGTCATTTCAATAGGGCAAGTAATTTGATTTAGAGCGGACGAAAGAGACGAATGTACACAAACAAAACAGCAGACAGCAGAAGCAGTAAACAACGGCGGCCAATGGGTACGCTCCTAACCTACACGCGCCGCGGTCAAACCTGGTCAGACACAAGTCACACCAAGGTTAAACAAGGTAAATGTTGAACCGATTATTCCGTTGTTGACCGATATATGCTGTATCCTTCGTTTTTTGTATGATATGGACGAAAGAGGAGTGACATATTTTCGATTAACAACGAATCTCGTGCACCGAACCCTGGCTGAGTGGGACACGTTGCTGCTGCCAGTTGCCACTATCATCAAAGCCCGAGAGTTGCTTTTTCACGATTTTATAATATTTAATGTTATTTGTGGCTTAGGTCGTGTGTCCTCCGGAACGTGAACTGTCGAGCTGTGATTGGAATACACGAAAGTACCAGGGCTCTCGGAATCATTCAGCATAATCGCACCCAGCCAGCTTTGTTCATCCTTGGAGTCTGCCTTGGATCTTGTTTCTTTAGGTAAGAGAGCTGTGAGCGTATTAGGATTATCTTCATTACAGGCTTGGCTCAGGGCATTCAGAATTCTAAAGTCTGTGTAATTTTAACGTGTTCTCAGCCTCGAATCCAAGCTTCTTTCACCAGCCTTGACCATTCTAACCTTGCTCTTGGCCTTTCCATGAAACAGGTGCTAAATGCACTTGTTACTGACATTATTTAACCTTGGCCTCAGGAACTATGCCGTTGCTTGTGTTTGTGACTGCGTGGGATCGTAGAGGAGGTACCTATGTTATGGGCGACACGATTCAGGATGTGATCAAAGCAGCTCAGGAAGCATTGAAAGTCACCGAGGATTGCAAGGTATCCGAACAGTATGATCCAAACCTGCAAACAACAAATGTATGTACTACCTGCTTTTTTTTGTAACAGCTGTACCTGGACTCGTCTGGCTTTGACGCTGGTGTGGAAGTGTGTGTTGATGATATTTTTAAAGCATTGATCAGCGATGCAAAATCTATGGGCCAAAAGATTGCCTTTTTCATGGCACCTGATGGCCAGAAACACATTTACCTCTCAGGTGTGTGAGTTTGTGTTTTTGAGGTGAACCTTCTGTGAAGTAAATTGCTTAGTGTGTGTGTGTGTGTTTATTAATTTTCCCTACCTTTCTGTGTATCTGAAGGGCATACTACTCCTCGCTCCCCATTGACTCCAGTGCCGGAGAATACAGAGCGCAGTGTGGAGCCTCAAACTCCCACTTCAAGACCTACAGGTTTGCGCATGTGCACCGATCATTTGTCTCATAGAGACTTTCTTCATGAAACCAGAGCAAAAGCATCAAAAGTATGTATTATATAAAGAAACATTCATATGACAGCAATAAAAATAAGATTTATCTCATGAGTGCTTTCCTAGTTTGGTTTTTAAGTGGTCTAGACATATTTGCAAGTGAGACGTTGATTTAAACTAAGAGTTTAAGTCTAAATTACTTTCTGAGTCGTTTCATGTGTGTGCGAGTTCTAATTAGGTAGCTTATTGGATAGTGGAAACTGGTGATGACAAAAGTTGTTACAGAAGTCACCAATTGAACATTTCTTTGATGCTTTTGTGAAATATTACTTCAACCAAGATATTGATGCTTCAGGCTACACATCTAACTGCATGAATGGCTAACTTGATTTCTTTTATTTTGCAGGTGACAGGTGCAACACCAGAAGTGCGTACCCAGTCATGCCCATGGACATCATTACAGCAACCTTGAAAATGTTATAAATATTTTTTAACAGTGCAGGAAAGTTCTGATTCAACTGTAGCGACAAATATTCTGCCAATACTTAATTTACTGCAGAGTTCTTCTCTGGGGCTTTCCACCAACAGGTGAGTTCATCACAGTTCAATATATACTGTTAAAGATCTTTGAAAAACAAGTATCACTTTAATAAAAAATAAATGTCACTGCTAGCAGCATCTTTGCTTTACATGAGAGAAACTCCCTTCAAGATCTTTAAATGGGGGGTTGCAACTTGATGCCAGTTCATAGTTTGATCTGTTGCAGCTAACTGTGTAACTTTTTTTCCCTTTTAGAGCTTTGTTTGAATAAAAAAGCTGTTGCATTTGGAATGACTGAAGTCACTTCTTGATTGTGCTTCCCAACTTTGGAGGAAGACTTTTTCATTACTCCTATTAACATTTGGTGGACCACGACCCGACTTGCTGCATTCTCATCAGTCCTCCGATATCCATCTTAGTTCTATTGAAATGCTCGAAATCTTGGTAAGTAGATATTGAAAGCATGTCTCATTACTCACCCACTGCTTTCCTTTGTCATGTTATGTTCATCTTTTCTTCTTTCAGAATGCAGAGTTTCAAGACGCAACACATTTTGTTCAATTTTGAAGGAAGCTACGCAACTATTCGGGCAACATGAATTTATCCCAAAGAAATTTTAATTTTAACAAAATGTTGTGTACAGACTCCAATGGCTGCTTTCATCAATTGCGCAGTTTGGAGATAATTAGTAGGAGGTTCACACTCCAAATCTGATGGAGAGGCATAAATGCTATTGTCTTTGTAAATAGATAACATCTCACTCATTCCAACCAAGTCAGGCCTTATGTATTTTATATATGTCATTGCATTGCCTTTATGTCATTGCTTATCAGTCTTGTTTAGATCTTAAGTAGTTTTCGTCTGTCTGAGTGACTCACTTTAACTCAGCACGCAGTGCAAATGACTGGAGGAAGGTCTTTGCTATGTGGCCTATTTTGCAAAGGCAATCTTTGTTTTTGATTCATGCTGACCTGTTGTCAGGCAAAGACTGCAAAGAGTTGTGGCTGGGAGATATTGCCAGCCATGAATCATTGCGTGCTTTTATGTTGGCTTATGTGGAGAAGTCCAGAGGAGGAAATGTAGACGACAGAGTCAGCAAGCTTGAAGAGTACATCAACGAAAGTGTTGAGGCTGAGATTTCTCTGTCAAGCAAGACACCTGTGGCTCTGGCAACTTTTCCCTTTCTTGCCACTTTCTTTATTTTGAAAAACAACTGATGATAGTTTAACACATCTGAAGTGCAAAAGCAAGGAACACTCTTGGAAACAAAATCCATTTCTATGCTTTGATCAGCCACCTTTTAAAATATTGAGGGCTTGCTTTTATCTTTCGTTTATGGTTAAATTTTCACTTTTAGTTGTTTTGATATTCGCATTAATTTAATCATTTCCCTAGTGGGTCTTAGTGTGTAAATGCTGCTACTAAGCTGGAGAAAATCTAAGTTTAGCACAATTTTTATGACTTTTCTTCAAAGTAGTTGTTACATAGGTTTTCAAACTTTTGATCCAAATTATTAAAAGTTAAGGCTTTAACTCTGATGGAGAAGCTTTGCAATAGTATTGTCTCTATGCCTTTCATTAGAAATTATCATAAATTGTTAAAATTTAAGTACCCGTTTCCCATTCCAATTTACAGAACTCCTGATATTTGTTTTCTTGTATAACTTTGGAGAGACTCTTCTCTGGAAGAAGTTATGGATTGTCACAGATAAGGTAAGAGTGGTGTTTTCTTTTCTTTTTACCTTACTGTTCGTAATGTAAAGTTTAACTTGCCAATTGCATTATGATTTTGATTATATCAACAGGCAACAGAACTTCATGAAAGCAAGCCAAAGGCGAAAGGTGTCTCAAGACAGCAAATCCACTGGCTTTTGGGAACGCGGCATCATATGACAACACTTGAAGCAAACTTGATGACAAAGGTAAGCTTATTTCTGTTTGTGAGTTAGCCATAAGGTTGCTGTCGCCTTCAAGAGAATGGGAGAAAGAATTGGTCCCATATATTTTTGAAATCCCTTCTAAATGTCGATTCTTATGTGTATCACATTACATGTGCATGTTTTGAAAGTCTATTAACTTTGGACAGAAACCTTCCACACTCTCAGTTTTACTTTAAGATCAAAGTTTGAGACACACTGGCATGAAATAAAGTTATAAGATGAACCATTTTGAAAAATAACTTGGCTTTTTAACTGTGTTGGTCTGCTTTTGTTCAAGACCTAGTATTGACTTGACATTCCATGTGCTGTCTTTTAATGTTATTCTAAGTGCTTGCAATCCATGTCTGAGTCCTTCTTACTTATCTTTAAAAAAAATGTGTTTTGATTGAAAGAAAATCGTGGGTCGAAGGACAGATGGTAACAATCAGATGCTACAGAGCAAGCTTCGATCACAGATGTAACTTTATTTCTGTTTGTGAGTTAGCAATAAGGTTGCTTTCTCATCCTTATTGTTAGATGTCTTTGGCCCTTAGAGCAGAATATTTTACTGCCACATTTTTTAAAATTTTAACTTGTAGGACCATGATGTAGATTATAATGTTTTGCTACCATAATGGATGGGCATTTGCAGACTCTTTCTGATCATAGTGTAACTGTATTAGATTTTATCTATTTTCTGATATGTTAATTTTTTATAGATTTCTTTTGTACACTGATCAGGATTCCTCTTTTGATGGGTGTCCTAGTTCTTGTGTCCCTGATTTTTGCTCGGATAATAATGTGGTTTGTTTGTTGTTTACGCAGGAGTCATCTGTTAGCTTGCTGAGAGTTCGGGAACCTGCCTCAAGTTTGGTTGGAGGTCTTGAATATGTTGTCTGCTGCCTTTCAAGCCATGTCTTAGTTCTTCTTGTATGATCCTAAGCAAATTCGACTTTGAATTTCTTTTCAAAAGTTGTATTTTGTCTCATAATAGTGTATGACAGAAAATGTAACATTTTCAACTTAATTCCAAAAGAGTTGTGACTTAAACTGTACTGGAGAAGCTTTTTCATTATGTTAACTCAATGTAGAACAAAAGTCTTTCATAAGAATTCATAATAACTTGTTCTAATGTTGGTGGTATTTATGGAAAAAATAAAAAAAAAAACAGTCACAGACAATTATTTTACTCATTTTACTATGCGAATGATTGCAGGTCAACATTTTAAAAAATGAAAAGACATTTTAATCGCCTAGCAGAGATAATTAGGACTATATCCTTAAAAAACCAAGCAGTTCAAAACTTCAATGCCTTCAAGAGCCAATGCGAGCCATGAAAATTGAATCTTAAACTGAAGATCTTGAGCCGATATTTTATTCCTATTGAAGTTAAAGATAAATCATTGCTGAGATCAGATCTTGCAATAATCT